TGTGCGTCACATACGTTTGCTGTCTGTAGACTTATTCTGGGACACTTTAGGTATCCACTAGCAACCGGAAGGCTTCAACTTAATGCCGTTGCTAGCTGTCGATACGCTCTCCCTAAGTACCATTATCAGTTCTTGTTTTTACCTACTTCACCACTTTTCAGCTGCAGCGAGTACTTGTAGGTAGCATTGAACTTTGCGCCAGGAGTCACTCCTTATCTCTCCAACACTTACTCTCTTGAACTGCTTGCATCTCACCTTCGCTTGTTTGTTGACTTCTTCTGTCACTCTAGTTATCCAGTGATAATTGTAGGCTTAATCCGAATGCATTTGCTAGCCACTGATACTCTGTAGCTTGGCACCACTATCTGTCGCTCTTCTTATCTTCTTCACTAATGCAGCAATTCGCCGTACGCTCCATGTCCCTTCTGCGCAGATCTCGAGCTCGCTAGGATAAACTCCTTGTCTCTCCATCATCCATTCTCCTAGATTGTCTGTATCACTTACCTCCTCTGGCTTGCTGATGCATTCAGTAACCCTATAGACATACACTAGTGACCAAGGGTCTGATTGGAATGGCAACATCTGACCACTGATAGCCTTTCCTAGCGCCACCATACGTCGGTTGTCCTAAATTCGGCACCCCTGTTTACAAGAGGCTAGTGGTCATAGACTCCATGCATATGCCAATATCCAGTGCTCGTTAGGCGCCACTCCGTGTTTCAATAACCTTTATTTTTTTAGAATAACTGCATCCAATATTTCCGCCGTTATAACGCCAATTGACCCTTAGATCTCACTCGCGGCAACCTATGTATTTTCACTTATTCTGCGCTCCCTATCTTATTACGCGAGCTACTAGCTGTTTATGCACCTTGCAAGAGCCACCGATATTCTAACTCACTTTGCTCTCTCCCTACGCACGCTTTGGCTCATAATTAACCGATACTTCGTAGCTTAGTTACTGGTACAACGCTGTTGTCTTTACACAGGCGTCAGCAATCCACCCATACGGCTAATGATTCTGTAGGATATTCAAAAGGCACCTTCAGCATAATTATTGTTGCACAGTGCACACGCTTTTCTCTACTCCAAAAATTGGAACCTAAGGTTATAACAATGTTGAACTCCATGCCTGTTCTTGCGGTCTTCTCGGTTGTCCCGCACTTTCCCTTTTCTCCGAGGTCCGGAACTTCTTGGAGGTCTGGGATTGGACTGAGGAACAGTTTTCGACAAAGACGGACATAACAACCGACTAGGACCTACATGGAGCATGGTTGAAAACCAACAGGACCTAATTACAATCACCACAAACCTTGTCCAGTATGAAGAATTGGACACATCTTGATACACCCATACATTATACATCTGAAAAATCAAGACAGCAGAAACTCAAATTTTGCTCACCTGGACACACAACAAGGTGACTATTCGCGATGTTCCCCTCCCCCACAGGCCTCAAGAATCATGCCGGCTCCGATCAAATTACCTGGCCAACTAACAAAGGAAATTAGGAGCCATTTGGCTGCGAATAACCGAATATGAAATCAGTCGTCAAACGGCTTTGCCAGTTATACAAAATTGATCAACATGTTTAACAGCAGTGTTGCAGGACATGGTGGGTTTCGCCTGGCAAACGTTTTCCCAATAAAATGCCACAGCTGTCTGTTTAACAATACTGCGACGTGGCGGATGTGACTTGCCACTGAATAAATTCACTGCCCACAACTACACCCTGGCAAGTCGACTAGATTCATATTTAAACTCTGCCCGGAACATGCAAGTATATAATACTCTAGGTCTACATGCACCGTTTCACTGCACTTATAATGCCTTGACCGTTTAAACTACACTCGACCGAAACCGAAGTATCGTCGTGCTAAATAACTGCTCTTAAAACTTGATCACGATTGAATTGGTGTGTCTCTATGTATTTAAGAATAAACTATGTATTTATTTATTAATTTAAACCACCCAGAAATCCTAAGTGCCCATAGTTATCAAATCTATGCTGCAATTGTATTCGTATCTGCCACTTCCCATTACCGTCCGACAAGCTTTCGGCATATTTTGCATATGTTTTGCAGAGGCGTGAGCAAACGTTTGACAGACGACATTGTTGACCTGACAGGAAGAATCCATCGCATAAAACATGCTTCATATCTACTGGCGCGTGACCGCTATCAGCGTCTTTCAACTCTATTGCAGTATTACTTGTCAGTGAAACATATAAATACGCTAACGTAAAATATTGGCCAATAATTCCTTACTGATCGTCCTTTGCGTAGGCTGAGAAGCCATTGTTTCAGCGCAGCTCATAGCACTAAGTTCTAAGCGGCTTTCACTTTATACATCTATAAAAAATGGGGCTAAGAAGCACACCTAATTACCTTAATCGTAAACCGTTGACGCTCTGTGCTGGTGCACGGCGCCTATAGGCACAATCCCGCGTGTTACACATAGCCTGCGGCGGCGAGCAATTTGAAAGTGCCTTGACGTCTGTGTCCGATCCACAGGCAACATAAAAGACCAGCTAAGGTTGTTAAATCGTCCTCTCATGAAATATGCCGCCGACGTTAATGCTAGAAATCAAGTTGCTTCATCGTGATTAAGTGTGAATTAAACAAACGTACAGGTATGTTAAATTAAAATAGCAGACTTCGACGATGAGCACAAATGGCGGACCGAAATTCTAACTTACCAGTTAGGCTCAGAAATTGTTGTGGATTTATGGTACGCTAGTCTAAACTTTGCTTTGCTGGTGGTGGTGGATATGGAAGCGAATATTTGGGAGATGTGCAAGCTAAATACGTTTACATGGTACTATAAATGAATGTCAATTTTAGCTTTCATGTATTTGCTTAAGTGGATAACAATGGGGAGTAAATCAATGTGGCGCCATGTTGAAAGCCGTCACCACTGCGTCCAATACGGCCACGTTTAAGCACTTGACAGGTTCGTTTTGGTAAATGTGCGGACATGAAGGGGATGTAAAGCAATGTTACCTGGCGTATGCAACGTCCTTTTTAACGCGCCAAGTGGTAACTATTTCGTCCTCAAATTTGACAAGTGCCCATTCCTTACGGACAGTGGGGATATTTACTCTGTTCCAGCAGTTATAAGATCGCCGCCATCATGACCAGCGTATTCTTAGACATGCAACCAAACGCTCCAAATGTATTGTAATTGTGACACCTGGTAAAAGCACCGCTGAAAAGTGGATGTGCTGAAGTTTCCCGCGAACGATAAATGGCGTCAAACGAGACCTTTGCCAAAAGTTTATAGACCTAGTTCTCAGGTTTCCATGAGTACCCAAGCCAGCTTCAAACCACAAGCCAGAATCGTTTGATAGTCCATAAAAATGCTTGACGCTTTGCTCGTATTTAATTTTTTATTTTTCTATGTAGACGCCCGCATCTATTAGCACCTCTTATTACTTGGAGCTATTCTCGCAAATGGTTAAAAGAAATAAGACGCTAGTTAATCGAAAACGTGGTTCCTTCCTGGATCCTGTCCTATCCTGTTTATGTATATTTTCCAAAGACTTGTAAGGGTACTCGCCTTTTGACCACTGGAATCTAACTAGATGCATCTTGTTGCTAGCGTGCAATTAATCATTTAAAACAGATGCACTTACTTTTATTCCTCGTTGTTTGCTCATTGCGGCGAAACCTGTTTGCGTGCCTTCGGTTTCCCGGTCGTTGTGCATCTGCGCTATCGCAAGGAACCTGTCATCAACTGCTTGCAGTTAACGGCGGCTCTGTTTCGTCTACTACGGTTTGGTTGGTCCAGTTTAATACATACGTGACGCACTAGGTTTTTCCGACTGTTTCGCTCAACGATTTTATA